GAGGGGACTGATGTGTGGCACCCTTCTTGATCATGGAAAAATTAAGTTTTCTAAATGCCAGAGTTTGACATCCTTTGGCAATTGAGTGACATTCCTCATCATCTCTCATTTGTCTTCATGAGCTCTAAGAACTAGCAAACCTCTAATATCTGCTGACTAACATATGTTGTTTATGAAAGATGCTACTTGCTAAAACTCTGAATACAGTAGAGAAGAAGCAGCAAAGTGTAATTGATGACTAAAAAAAATCAAGAGTTTGGGATCTGATAAGAGCTGGAAGTCATTCCACGTAAGCTTAATTTTGTACTGCAGTTTGGTCAGGGCATATGGCCATTACATCTGGGGTAAAACAGGCCAGCACTTCAAGGGCTGAGCCCTTCAGAACCCTAGGGCTACTCTGATGTTCCACGGTTCCACAACTAGGGTTCATTGCTATCTTCTTTAAACACCATGCAGGTGGTCCCTTTGAAAAAGTTAAAAACTCACTGAAGTAGCAAAGAGCAACGCCAAACCTCAACAACATTTTCCCTAAATGACCTAGGTACAACTTAACAGATCTAAATTGCAGCTAAAATTAAATAATATCTGATCTGGCCCTTCCTTAGCTTCCTCCCATGCTTAAGAACCTATGTATGGTGTGTCCTGCAGTTCTCATAGAACTGAAATGCTACCCAAGGGCAATAAAGCCCATGTACCTCTTTAGTTAGCATCCTTTCTGGAAGAAAAGTTTAAGGGAAATAGAAGTTTCTTGCTGAACAGGTGAGCAAAGGTTGAAATTAAACATCTAAACAATGTATCTTTACTTACACCAATTATCCTAATTAATAGCCAAATTAGTTGGGTTCATTTGTCATCCAACTCTACATTTTACACTTGAGTCTTGGTTCTCTCCTTTGGAACCACATGGAATAATTTATTGATTCATTCCTACATCAAAATGTCATTGAATTCCACCAGGTGCAGTGGCTCGTGCCTGTAATCTCAGCACTTTGGGAGGCAGAGTTGGGCTGACCACCTGAGGTCAGGAGTTCGAGAGCAGCCTGGCCAACATGGTGAAACCCCATCTCTGCTAAAAATACAAAAATTAGCCAGGCGTGGTGGCACACGCCTGTAATTCCAGCTACTCTGGAAGTTGAGGCAGGAGAATCCCTCTAACCTGGGAGGCAGAGGTTGCAGTGAGCCAAGATCATGCCATTTCCCTCCAGCCTGGGCAACAGAATGAGAGTCTGTCTCAAGGGGAAAAAAAATTAACTGACTTCCATCAGGTGCAGTTGCTCATGCCTATAATCCCAGCAATTTGGGTGGCTGAGGTGGGAGGATCACTTGAGGCCAGGAGTTTGAGACCAGCCTAGCCAACATGGTGAAACCCTGTCTCTACTAAAAATACAAAAACTAGCTGGGTATGGTGGTGCATGCCTGTAATCCCAGCTATTCGGGTCGCTTAGGCACAAGAATCTCTTGAACCTGGGAAGCGGAGGTGGGATCGTGCCAGTGTACTCCAGCCTTGGCTGGAGTATACTGGGCAACAGGACTCTGTCTAAAAAAGAGAAATTAACTTCTATGAGTAAGGCACAGGCGTTTCAGAGTGAATCAGACCTGTTGGTCCCTGCATTCATGGAGCTTAGAATCCAGCACAAAAAGACAGTCAAGCTCATAGAGGATGACTTTGCTCCATCAGGTTCTGGATTACAAACCAGAGAAAATCTTTGCTGTGCCCCTGTGACAGAATAAGTTCAACATCTTTTCTACATGAGAGCCCTTCAAATATTTAAGGACAGCTATGTCATACTTTCTAAGACTTCCAGTCTCTATCAACAAGTCTAGTTCCATAAGCTATATAGTATGGCTTAGCTTAGAATCCTTTACCATGTGCTGGCTTCCCTTTGCACATACATGCTATCAACCTATCAATGTATGGGGGACCAGAAACAAGACTCATTCCCACCCCAGTAAAGAAAATAATCAACCTTATGCTGAATACTGCACTTCTACTTGCACAAACTAAGAATATTAACATTCTAGGCTTATGCTGAGTTTGGAATCAACTATAGGCCCTGAGTTGACCTATACTGTCATCTCTGACAGTATGGTCATACACTGGTTGAATTATTTTGTATCTGAGTGTAGAATTCTACATTTACTTATATATTGATTAGTGTTCTTTATAGTCAATTATTCCTGCCTATTAAGCTGTTATATAATGATTGTGTCCTTTTTCAAATTTCTTTCTTTTTCTTTTTTTTTTTTCTTTTTTTTTTTTTTTTTTTTGAGACAGGGTCTTTCTCTGTTGCCCAGGCTGGAGTGCAGTGGCATGATCATGGCTCACTGCAGCCTTGACCTCCTGGGCCCAATCCGCCTGCCTCAGTCTTCCGAGTAGCTGGGATCACAAGCATGCACCACCATGCCTGGCTAATCTTTTTTTTTTTTTTTTTTAAATCTGTAGAGAAGGAGTCTCTCTATGTTGGCCAGGCTGTTCTCAAACTCCTGGGCTCAAATGATCCTCCTACCTTGGCCTCCCAAAGTGCTGGGATTACAGATGTGAGCCATCATACTCAGCCTTCGAATTTCTTATCCTTTCTAATATCATGTTTTCTACATACAAGAGCATTCCAACAAGCTCTCATCAGCCTAAGACCATCCTTTGATGCTTTCTTGTATTCCAAGAGAATACATTCCCTTTAGTGCTCTCTTGTGTAGCATTTTGTGTCTAACTCCATTACATTATATCATTGCCTTACTGCGACTATATTTTTGCGTATCTCTTCTCTCACTTATCTGTGAGCTCATTAAGAACAATAGCTTATATATCTTTGTATCTCCACTACTAAGCTCAGTTCCTGACACATAGGCTATGCTTAAAAGAAAAGCTGTGGGCAGGGTGCGGTGGCTCACGCCTATAATCCCAGCACTTTGGGAGGCCAAGGCGGGTGGATCACGAGGTCAAGAGATCGAGACCATCCTGGTCAACGTGGTGAAACCCCATCTCTACTAAAAATACAAAAATTAGTGGGGCATGGTGGCACACGCCTGTAGTCCCAGCTACTCGGGAGGCTGAGGCAGGAGAATTGCTTGAACCCAAGAGAGGAGGTTGCGGTGAGCCGAGATCGCGCCATTACACTCCAACCTGGGAAACAAGAGCAAAAAACTCCGTCTCAAAAAAAAAGAAAAGCTGTTTATTTCAAAGAATGAATGAATGAGCCACTCAGCCATTACATGACCCAGGCCACACTGGCCCCAAGGTTACCATAAAATACTTTGTCAAATGCCTTATTGAAACATGTGTGTAGCTGTCCTAACTCTGCTACCTACCACTTTAGATAAAAGTCACTTTATTTCTCTGTGTCTCTGATTCCCCATAGGCGGACAATGAAAGCTTATCAAGATTAATAAATGAAGTAATATATGTAAACATGCTTTACAAAACTGCAACATGTACAAAGGTTAGATATAAGCATCCCCTCATTCTAGCAGCCTTATCAAAAAAGGAAATTATGTTTATTGGCCTTGCAAGAGCTGTGGTTTGTGGCTTCCATTTAAGGGCAGGAAGCAAGGCCTCTGAAAACAGTGAGAGAGAAAGGTTAAAGGGATAAAGCTTGGAGCCAAATCCACCACAACCCCCTTCCCAGGCTCACCCACACTTCCCACTCCTCTCCTCCAGCCCCCTTCCCCATATGAAGTTTGACGCCTGTTATTCAGGACTTTTCCTTTTGGCTGGCCTTTGGGGTTTTCCGAATTCTGTTTTGAGGGGTCCAGAGAGGTTCTCCTGCCAAACTTTGTTTGAATGGGCCTATTGAACATCTTCAGTAGGACATTAAAGAGTATACACCGTTAATGGGTAATTGTCCTTAGGAAAGAAGGAAGCAGAGAGATGAACAGACAGGTGGCCCTGTCCTGCCAACAGGGATACCAGCACGTGCAGGGTTTGCTGTGTTACAACAGGGTATCATTGTGAGGTACCAGCTGCCTGCCACTGTTTATGGACATTTCTTTTTCTGACTGGGTATTTCTGCTTTTTGATGATATTATTGTCCTCCTGAAGCTAGAAGGAAGGAAGGAAGGAAGGAAGGAAGGAAGGAAGGAAGGAAGGAAGGAAGGAAGGAAGGAAGGAGGAAAGAAGGAAGATGATACCACATGAGGTGAATCATCCAAACAAAAGATGGGTCCTCAGCCACCTGGGTTCAAGAATCTGGAAGCTAGGTTTCAGCTTGGCTGGAAAACCCACTTCCCATGTGGCCTCCTTCTCCTTGACTTCCAAAGAGGATTTGCATTTGAGTGTCCTCGAGCATGGGAAAAAAAATCTGCCTTTGCCAGCAAGAAACAGCCAGCCCTACAGAGAACCTTACATAAGAGGAGTATCCTGTCAGCCAGATGGCTCAGCTTGTCTGTGAGGCCATGTCTTTCTTCTTTGTCATCATACCTCACACCATGCCTGACACATACCAGGTTCTCAATAAATATGTGTTAAATATATGAGTGTGCTATTCTAGACTAATGAAAACAGGTACTTATGGCTCCTTGGGCAGAGCTTTAAAAGTGCAGCCATGCCTCTCCAGGTCGGCATTAAAATGGCTGCATAATTACAGCAAGAACAAATCCAGAGTTGTTCTGAGAGGTAACTGGACAGGAGGATCCATCTCCTGCGTTCCACACTGATTCTCACTTCACAGCCTTAGTTGATCTTAGTAAGATAGGCTTACAGCAGCTACCAGTGCAGAGGCAGAAATTACCCAGCACTCTTATTTTTCTATTCAGGTGAACAGGGCTCACTGACAGAGAAGCCCAAGTTCTGGAACTGAGTCAAAAATTAAGCCATTGAAAAGAACTCCTGAATGAGGCTCCCCTAACAGTCTTGACTGTAATTAGCATCAGAAACCTAACTCAGAAAACTGTTCTTTCTATATTTCTGAGTTTTGTTCCCAATGATCTAATATGTTTTTTAAAAATGTTATTCTTACAAACAAACAAACAAAGGTCTAACCTCCTTGGTATATACAAGAGGAAAGGGTTTCTCCTTTCCAGTGGTGGTGTAGAGAGAGGCTGAGTTCGTCCCTGAGGCCGGAGTGGAGATGACCGCAGCCAGGCTGGCCCGCAAAGCAGGGTCCCTTTCAGAGGGCTTGCTCCCCGGACGACCTGGAGCCTGCTTTAGGGGAGCCACACACGTCCTCTCCCCTTTCTTGCTGGAGATTTGGGGACCTAAGGGGGATCTGTGATTCCTGAAAAAAGAAACTTCCTTTGGTAGGTGATACTAGGCAGTCGCATCCCCAGAGTCTCCGCCTTTCTGCGCTTCCGCAGCGGGGGGCAAACAGGGGCCGGGGTGCCGTGTGGGTAAGTAGCTCCTAGGAGCTGGGATCCTCCTTTCAGCACTTGGGGAAGGCTATGTCCGACCTTTGGCTCAGTCACTGTTATCACACACAGGCATTTCTGGAGGCATTTCGGGGCTTTATTCTGGGAAGTCGCGCGGACCGGGGCCCTAGCGCTACAGGAGAGGAACCTCAGCGCTCGCCACGCGTGAGTCGCACTTCCGGTGAGGTGTCTTCGGGAGGTGGCGCCACAGCCCGTCGCAGCGCCGGCCGCCCGCCTTTCTCAGCCAGACTCCCACCGCGCCAACACCGGGGGAGAGAGTGAGCCCCGCCCGGCCGCGGTCTGGACCCCGCAGCGGGGCTTCGCGGGCGCTCTGAGCCGTGATTCCTGACGGCCTCAGAACCCCGTTCGCCGTTCTCTGCTCATACGGAGGGTGCTGGGGACCCCGAAGCCTGCGCGCCCTCGACTGAGGCCCGCACCAGCAGTGAGGATCCGGGCCCTTCGTTGGGCCGTGACTGCTCTTGGTGCCTCATGGGAGCGCCCGGGGTAGGGACTCGGCTAGTGACCTGTAGGACACGTGGGGCGAGCTGAGAGCCGATTCGTCCACGGCATCTCCTCTGCCATTGGGACCCCCAGTTCCGCTTCGGGGTGGCGGTCACGCACCATAAGAGGACCGTCAGGTCTGAATTCATTAAGGGTGGTAGTAGGCAGTTCGTGAGCCCTGGACGGCCTGCGGAGTTTCCCGCCTGTTGCGGATTTAGCGCGGGGCCAGTCCGGGCAGGAGAGGACTGGCTGGGACCCACGAGGTTGAGCCGGCTCCTCTCTAGTGAGGAATGACGCTTGTGGCCGCACACTCTCCGCAGCCAAGCTGCAGGGTCCGGCAGGGACAGGGGTCCTGTTCCCTCCGCAGATCCCAGATCCAGAGCTCTAGTGGCCTTGTCCGGAGGGAAGGTGATGTGCAGTGGGCGCAGATGCAGAGTGCCGGGCGCCAAGGGTGGGAAGGAGCGGGTTCAGCGCGCTGGCGAGAGTTTCAGGAAATCCGGGAGAGGGCGGTATTTACCAGTCCCTTCCCAGAGAGCAACCAGGCAAATCGCGAAAGGTTAGAGGAAGGGGACCAGCCTGTGCTGGGACAAAAAAACTGGAGCTGGGGCCTTCTCACCCTGGGGACCTACGCGACTCCGGGGCAGGCTCTCTCACTAAAGTCACGAGATGGGACGATTTTCCAATTTTCGTCCTGCCTCTCCTTTCCCTCCCGCCTCTCTTCTAGCATTCCTGCACTCTCAACCCGGGTCACAACCCTCACCTGCGGAATACATGTCTGAAGGGCGCGTCAGTAGAAGCTTTGTTTCATACAATCTTTCTTACTGTTCTCTTCATCTAAATCGCACGACATTCTCGGCTTCTTTTCCACATAGCGTTCGGCAGCGGACAAAGAAGAGCTGGTGCAGGCGGAACCGAAACTGAACCTGACAGCTAATGCTGTGAAATGGACACCCGAAGTTCGTGGTCTGGCTCCAGGAAGAGTTTAGGGAATGTGTTAGGCGGCAATTCGGCAAGCAAGAGCTGTAGTCCAACCCTTCCTTCGGTGGGAAAATTCAGGTTAGGACGGAATGCGAGGCCTCTTAAATCGTTAAGATCCTCCAGTCAGCTGGAAGAGTCTTTAGTAATTCGTTGTTTTATCTTGAGACCATTATCGGCCCCTAAGCACCTAATTATTTAATGGCAGCCCTCTGGGTATATCGGGTATACTGATAGGCGTTATCTAGCATTCAAACACGTGTTTCTGGAGGAAACTTGTCTGACCTCCCTCCACCCCCGCCGCCCACTGTCATTTATTTTATTAAATGGAACCCAATTGTATAATTATTTTATAAAACAGCAGTCCTATTACATATTTTTGAAGATTTGGTTGTGTACGATTATTTAATCGTGTAGTTTAATTTCTGCGTCGTTCCCACATTGCTAACGTGATGGAGGAGAGCAGACCCGAGGACTTTTCAACCTCCAATAAAAGGAAGAGGACTTTATGGCTGGGGTGAAAAGGGGCTGGTGAGCTAAGCCAATGGGGCAGCATAGCTTTACTATGTGCAAAAGCATTCAGACACAAGCCGACCCTTTTGCAATAAAACTTTATTGATGATCGTTTGAAAGTTATGGCAACTCCAAGGTTATAAAACTTGTCATAAAATACCAAGCAGTCATTAGTTTACCTGACCTCATTTCAATATAAACTTCCACAAAACATTTTATTTTGTTCCTTCTTATAAGTGGAGAAAAGAAGTTGAGGAGGTTAAACACAGCGGCCCGTTACTGAGGACCCAAAATCTGCAATTTGACACCCTGACCTTCATCCCTGCAAATAAAGCAGTAAAATCCACATTTTATTCTTTAATGTTCTGTTACTGCAGAAAGGATAATAATGTGTGAATGTTATTGTAGAAAAGATAATAACGGCTATGTTTTAGTTCCAGCTGTCCATTTTTAGCACATAACCTGGGTTCAAATTTGGATAGAGAGTTGTTCCTCTTTGGAAGATCTGTAAGATATCTTTAACAATTATTAAAGAAAAAAATTATTAAACAGTATTTGCTCCCTGAGCTATGCATTAGAAGTCTAGGAAGCAAATGGCCACATATTTTCATGTGACCTGAAGAATGAGTTGTTCAAAATATTTAATTGATATTTACAGCTATTAAGAGGTTAGATGACTAATCACTACCTCTCGCCACCCTTAGTCATGAGCTCAAAGAAAGGCAGCTGCCCTGGGATTGGCACGTACAACTATACTACAGAAAATAACCCAAACTGATGTTCCAAGAAAGCCCCAGGAGATAAACTGGAGTCTGTCAAAATCATCATTTCTGGTCCAACTGTATGAGTGGACTTAAACCATGGATCAGAGAACAGCCACAGAACACTGATAACTTTGAATGGTTTCTGAACTCCCCAAACTGCACTTTGGGTTGGCGGAAGCTCTTGTTTCCTTAACGCTGTATAGCTAAGGTCAATCTAGCTGCTTTGGGGGATTTGTGAGCAAGTACAGATGGCAAAGGTTGACTCTGTGTTAGCTGCATGCTAATTTCTCTAAAACATAAAAGTCTGGATATACTTTTCACGGATTGTTTAAAATATAAGCTCCAAGATAGATCCAGGCATATATACATTTATGATGGATTTAGGAATCTAAATGAAGAAAGCTAACTGCTTTATAAGCTCACTGAAACTCATCTTGGTAATGTTGTGCTTAGTTTCCTGGTGTGACTTCAAATATTTCATGGAATTTCCACTAGAAAATAAAATTTTAAAAACCCAAATCTTATGTAAAATGCTGCTTTGTTATGAGGAGTGTATGGGTGTGGAGTGTGAGAGAGAGAGAAATAAAAGAAAGGAAGGAATGAAGAAGGAAGAGAAAGAAAAAAAGGAAGGAAGGGAGGGAGAAAGGAAGGAAGGAAGAAAGGATCTCAGTCTCAGAGAAAGGCATAGGGATGGAGCTAAGGGAAGAGAAAAGTGTAAGATAAAGTACTATAAAAAGCAAACTCTCCTAGTGTTTATAACTTCCTGTAGTTGGTGGGTTCAGGTTGCAGTAATTTACGTTACCATTTCATAATGCCAGGTTCTCAGACGCAAGTGATAACATGCATCAAAATAAAGATTTTGTGTTTTCCCCAAGTCAGTACTGACTTCCAGGAAGAACAGGGAAGAAAGGGCCTATAGACCTACAATGCAGCCCATAGGCTAAACACACATCTTTATCAGACTTCAGAAGCAAATAAGTGGTCTAAATTCAGTCCTTTGAGCTTGTAATGTTTCTGCAAATCTCATACTGGTGAGTTATCATCAGAGGTAAGTTGACAAATTTTTCTTATAAATGAGTTGATTAAATTTATTGTGACACATATACACACAAACTTGTTGGTAATATTTATTGTAGCAAAAATGGGGGTGAATTTAATTTACAATGTTTATATCCATCTGCTATTAATCCCAGCATTCATTTCTGTTTCCCTAGATGCCTTGAGTGGTGGGGGAGGAGTAAGGTAAAGGAAAAAAGTGTTTTCTCTTTAATCTGTGACAAAAATAATTCCCTCTTCCCCTTTCATCCTCCTTCTCGAAATACTGTTCTTCACCCAAGAGCCAGCTATTCAGACTCTCTATCTCGATTTTTACTATTGTCACATTAGTATATAATGATCCCCCATTCTGCTCTACCTAAGTATTATATTTACCAGAAAGTTGTGGATATCAAAGAAGCATCCATTTGGATTGACTTTTCGGAATCATCCCCCTTATGCTGTATTCTGGGGAAGGCATGGAAATGACCTAAGTTGATTTCTAAAGTGTTTTTCATGTCAAAAATTGTGAGGGACAGCACATCATGCACACACTATCTTTTCTTATATTCTGTTTTGTTCAAAGACGTTAGAAAATGTTCACAAGACACCATGTCCTCCTTAACATACTTTCATGAGTTATCTGGTTAATTGAGGCTTAGCTGTATAATGAGAAGCATGTCTTCAGGAGGGCTTAAAAATATATGCTTGAGATTTTTTTTTTTTAACAGCTGGGTGATAGAGTTGTGAAATCCCAAATTGTGCCTTGAGTTCTGGTGGCACATCCATACTGCCTAGCTTTGCCTTCATCATTTTTATTGACACACAAAAAACTTTCCTGTAAGAGGAAAAAAGTGCAGCTTTTATGTAGTGATATCCAAGTGTATGTTATTCATTTCTTTTATGGAATTCAATGTATATTTTACCCTAAGGGTATATTTTTCTCCATGAGACTAATTGCTCTAATAGGAATAATGATGTCTCCTATGTACCTAATACCTTTATCCCCCCAAACCCTCATGTGCCTTAGCAGTTCCATGATGAAACACACAGATCATATGCAGTTGTGGCCAGAAGTCATGGCTCAACTTACACATAACTCTACCAGGTTAACCCTCTGTTTACTGTTTGTCTTAAAAAAAAAAATCCCCTTTGGCATAAAAGAAAAGTCTTTTCTTTAAAGTCTTAATACAGAAAGTCTTAAGTAATTTTGTTTCACAGCTAAAATATTAAAGGTAAGTCTGGTTCTAAAAGAAAACTTGTACTTTTGGCTACTTTTAAGTTGAAAGAAGAGGTAGGGGAGACTTTTTCTGGAAGTTATAATCCATAAATTAGCCACATCTGAATTTCCATAACAGAATTTAAATAACACATTTTTCTACAGTATTTTTTCCTCTTGGGAAAACTGGATGGATAAATGTTTAGTTCTAAAATAAAAATTGGGGGATGGTTGAAGAAAATATACTTACTTTTATCAATTACTGTTGGAGAACTTCATTTTGTGTCAGAGTTGGAGAAATGTATAGCACTGGTCTAGAATGATAAAACTGGATTTAGAGAGTTTTGCATACCTGGAAAATCATCCAGGTATGTAAAAAACATTTACAAAGTGTCTCTCTCTTGTTTTGAATTGCCTATAAGTTAATTTGCTTTCTTTAAGTTTTGAATCCATTTGGCAATGCATGCAGTGTAGTACTTTCATCTAGCAAGTAAGTGCTGAAATCTACTGGCATGAAACATTCAAACTGCAAATGGAAAATCTGCTCAGTCAAGTGGTGCTCCATTGTTTCCCTTTAAAACCCAGCAGCAGCAGCGCCTGGTTACTAGAATGGCCTTGCTGGGGAGGCTTGTAAATGTACCATGCATTATACAGCCCTGGAAGCAAGGTGATTTGACCAGACTAAAAGAATTTTGACTCTTCTGTTTTCTGACTTTCAGGGATTTAATGTTTAGCCTTAAACTGGCACTATGAGGGGTTTTTACATGAAGTAATGGGATCCCTATTTCTTTCCCTAGTGGAAGGGGTATCTTCAAGAATGGAGCCATGTGGCGGGGCAGAACTCAATCCCAAAGGAATTGAATGTGAATCACTCAGGCAATAAAAACTGCTAAGGGAATCTGTGTCGTCAGAACATCAGATTCACACCTCTGGTCCTGCAGGAAGGTGCTGTGGGGCTTTTTCAAAGGTCCCCTGTGGCCACGACCTTGGCTTTCTATCCCTCTAAGAAGTGGCTTACTAGTCAGCCAATATATTGGGCTGGCATTTTGATCCTGCAGGAAATAGAACTAGCCTTTTTCTCCAATCCTCTATATCCATCCTAGGAGGCTGTCAAGAATGGTAGCCTCACTGGTATGGCTGCATCATACATAGGACACTGGTCCAGCATTTCTGGTGCTAATCCCTGGTTTTGGCAATCCTCCCTCTCCCCCTGCAGCCATTAAATTTACAGTCTGGATATGGCATAGAAACAGAACCCAAACTGTAGCACTTTAATGCATAAGAACTATAGTAAACAGTACTGTATGAATTGGAATAAAACATGAAGGATTAGTATTGTCTAAAATCCCTTCTTTATTTTCCTAAATTCTCTACTCAAAAAATTTCTTTTCCTTTTTGTCTACTATGCCCTTCCTTGCTAACTAGTCTGATTTTTATTAAGTGTGTTGCCGAGAATAGCATTTTTATTAAATGCATTACCAAATGGATTGTGTCATGACATTATGAACTTAAACATCTTTAAGATTTAAAATGTGTAGGCATAACAACATAAACATAAAATGTGTTGCATAAACAACACTTTACAACATCTGTGCAAAACACAATGCATTTACTGAACAAAACCAGCAATACTTGCTTAATTCCCCGTCCCCCCCAAAAATTTGGGCTAATTCGTATTAATTTTAAAATGTTTTATTGTTGAAAAATGTGAATCATATACAGGTGGCATTTCCCCCCCTCTCTCGTTAGAAAAAAACAACAGTTTGTACCTACTGGCAAAATTGGTTTACTCTACAAGGATGGTATACTGTGTTTTATCCCTCTTGGCTAATTAAAGAGTTAACACTTTTGAAAT